TTCACTAATTGAAATGATGATGTCTCAAAAATGCTGCAAGCTTGTGTAGAAGATACAACGTTCTATACACTATACCTAGTTTAACTTGTAAAAATTAGAATATATACAATATATAAATAAAACTAATCATAAAAATATTTAAATAAATATATATAATCCAAAACAAAAATGTCTAATAATAACTGCTGGTTATTGTAAGATAATATAACAATATATAGGCATTATTTCAATAGGTAAAAATTTCATTTTTATACTAATATATTTATTGTAGGTAACTGTTAAAATTATTAAAAATATTGATGTTAATACCAAATTGATTACCTACCTTACCTATCTAGTATCTACACATATAGGTACCAATACTAATATTAAGAGGATCACTTTTCCCAAATTCACATATTTTGATACAATGATACCTAACCCATTTCTAATTTCTGTAGAATACGGTGTGTTATCTTTCTATTTGTGATATGGTTTAAAGAATACAAAATTTGGATTATTCTTAATAAAAAATATTTCGTTTTATTATTTGTCATGTTCACCACTAATAAATTATAAGCTTCATTAGCTATTTAGCTTTGTCTTCGTTTTTAACCACAACATAATTTTGATTGTTAAGTAGGTACTGAAATTATATTAATTCATTATTTTAATTCTTATTTAAATATTCATTTATCACTTTCCAGACCATTTTTGTATCTTTATTTAATATTTTTATTTTATTGAACTAATACACTAATACAAATTTTTTGCTAATTTAATTCAAAAATTTTATATTTGTAATACCATCATAGCATAGAACAATATGATCATAGATCAATTTATAATACCTGAGGTTTTAACAGTTTAAATATCTACTATTTATTGTTAAGGGGCCTGCACGTGACCTGTTTTTTTGCTGAAAAACATGCCTTACAGGAAAAACTCTCATGCCTCGTAGAGTGTTCCGATTTCAATCATTTTTTTTTTTTTGAAAGAGATACTTCTTACAGCGCGCATTGGACTTAGATTTTTAAAATTCTATTTCTAAACTATACAATACGATTTTGAATATGACCAATTTTTCACAAGATTTTGTTACTTTTATTATGTTTGTTTTAAGCGACGAAATTAAAAATCTAAGTCCGATGGGCACTGTAAAAAATTATACTCTTTCTAAAGAGAAAAAAAATTAATCAAATCAGACCACTCTACGATGCCTGAGGGCTGAGATTTTTTCCCGTAAAGTATGTTTTGAGCAAAAAATCATGCATTTTATTTTTGGTTGGTGGTGCCGTTGACAATACGTGTGCACAATGCACATGCAGTGCGTTTGTAGATAGCCCGGTACAGCATACAATCACTCACACTAATCATTATTGACAACTAACACAAATGCCATTAGCGCCGGAAACGAAATTGCATATTGCCTAAATATTGCGCCTTATTAAGACACACGAGCAGGCCCCTTAAGGCAGTCTACTTGAGAGCGCTAGTATCGTTTTTTTAAAATTCCGGATTTTTACGGTCCACGATATTATGGTCCGCACATTTTTATTTTCCGGATTTTTACGGTCCGGGATATAACGGCCCGTACATTTTAACCTTCCGGATTTTTACGGTCCGGGATATAACGGTCCATACATTTTTATTTTCCGGATTTTTACGGTCCGGGAATATACGGTTTACAGCTTTCCGGATTTTTACGGTCCGTGATATTACGGTCCGAATATTTACATTCCGGAATCGTACGGTCCGTTCAATTATTTTCCGGGATTTTACATGCGTCCGACCCGGTAAATGTCATAAAATCATTCTAAACAATAAAGCTGATGATCACTTGTATCTAAATATCTGAATCTGACACATTATACAAAAATACAATATAATATAATATATGTATTATGTTCATGTATTTTTTTACACTATACAATTAAAGAATACCACAAACACAGATTAAATTTATAAGTTGATAATATTATTACTACAAAAAATTACCAAAATTTTATAAAAAAAAAAAAAATTAATAGAAATCTTATGTATTGTAGTATTCAATTTTAAAACCAAAGCTAATTAGATTATACTATACAAATTAATTTAAATAATAAACAATACCACTACAACTGCGATCTTTAAAACAGAATACGGAAAATATTGATTTTTTTTAAGTTTTGAGAAAATTGATAAATTAAGATCGTGTCTAAATATATAAAGACATTATAACTGAAAATGTTATTTTTTAATTTTTTGTAAGCTGTAACTTATGCTAAATATTTTATATTTTATACGGTTATATTGTATCCAATTAAATGTTATTATTAGTAAATAGAGCTAATCCGTAATAAAAATTATTATTATTATATATTTGCATTATTATTACGTATAATATTATAACTTGTCATATACTATGACCCACGAGCGGTTTAATATCAGACTTGAAAAGACCTTCGGCTTACGTCTGAAAACTAATAACGATAGTAAAAACGCAATAATAACGACACAATAGTTATGAATTCGTTTAGATTATCGCGAAACGAACTGTTGTTTCCACGAACAGACTGTTTCCGATTTAACGAGCCACAACGAGTCATCGTTTGGCACTCGATCGCTGCAAATTGTAAGTGTGACCAACTGACGACGACAACCACAGGTGCGGCTAGGCGGTGGACATTGCAAAAAGTGATTTCAAAAGTTTTGTTTGAAGAGTAAGTTATGAACGTCTGTCCTCTTAGAACGTTCGGACAGACTTATATCTGCCGATGGCGGTGGTAGAAGAAGAGCGCGCGACTATGAAAATCCTCTGCAAAGTTATTAATTTTCAACCCAACACCTTTCGACCAATCATATTATATAGAATGTATTTTTATGTCTTATACCGGCCCACCAGCTCTCTCCCTACATCATATTCTTCTATCCCTCTGAAGACTATTAACCTCCTCGACAAGGATGACAAAAATGAGACAAGTTGAAAATCACTGAAATGAAACTGTATGCAGCAGTAATAGGATTGTTTTAAATGTTTATTGATTTTTAAAATATTATAATACAATACAATTTTGTTATCTGAACTCATTTTTTTTATGAAAATGCATAGTATGACTGATGAATTCGATAACTAAAACGTATTTAATTATTTTTTTCGTTTATAGTAAAACACACTTTTGATAACTGGAAATTTCTTTCTTCGTATTAATATTATTGTTCGAACGCGGCTGAACTTCCCGCCGAATCTACCAAAGTCCAAAGGCTTTACAAGTCTCGTATCCGGCGCGGAATGTTCGCGAAGAGTCGTTCCCCCTCCACGGTGTCCACACGCCGGCTGGCGTCCACCGTCCACGGCCCCCGTGCCGGAGACTCGGCCTGTTTGTCTCTTACCTACGCTCGAACTTGGCGGATCACGCACCGCCGGTTCGCGTTGCTTCGTGGGGCTGTGTTTAGACCTCGTGGTCATTATTAGTAATTATTTATTATTTATGATTATAATTGGTGCACGTCTATACCGTCGTAAACTTGGAGACAGTCTAAGTTTGACGGATTGTGTCACCGCGCACCACCGAATTTATTAATTATTATACGTGTCACCGCTGGGTCGTCGTTCAACTGCGCCGCAGTGCCGATTTTGGCTGTTGACGAGGAAGATGCTGTCGCATTTCCAGCGAGGACCGTGCTGACCAGTGACCTGTCCCCGAGGTGTCGATCAGGTCATATTGTAAAATTATTATTACCTATTGTTTAAATTATTATTATTGTTTATTGTTCAAATTATTATTATTATTATTGGTGTAGCGCGTGTTAAATTGTACACGGCGTCTACATTGATTACTAGTGTGTAAAAAATATATATATCGCGTCATTACGCATTAAGACTTGTACGAGGTAATATATTGTGAGTTCGCCCCTTCCCGTCCACAGCACCCGCGAGTCGTCAGTAAACTGCTGTTAACGTAAGTGCTGACGGCGCAACAATTATATTATATTATTGTGTCAAACAATGTGTTGTTTTTTAATAGACCCACTAAGAAAGTTATTCACTTTGACTAAGTTTTGTAAAAAAAATAATATAAATGTAAAAATATAATCCAGGTGATCTTCATTCGTTAATTCGAAAAGCTTTAACTTTTTTGGAAATATTCTTTTTGTACAGTTGGATGCCATTTCAAAACATAATTTCTGAAAATAATATATATTTTTGATTAACTACCATATATTTTTCATTTCATTATCCGAAGTTAAATATTATTCGAAGTATGTATTTCAATCTATAAATATCGAATTTCGAACAAGTAGTTCTGTTGTTATAAGGACCTATTTAAAGTTTAAATTAGATGAGTGGACAACATTTTGCAAAAGTGGGGTATTACTCTACTCCACACATCTAAACTTTGAATACTTTTAGGTTATAATACTAATGAATTAATTTTCGGTTTCTTGAAAGTTGAAACTGATTGAAAAAATGTCAGTTTAGGTTTCAATTTTGCTCACCTGCAGTTTTTAATTTTTTCGATTTTGGTTTCAATTTTTTAAAATCAGTATTAGGAAATTTCTGTTTTGTTTTCGATTTTGTATACCAGTTTTCAATTTGCTTGGTTTTGGTTTTGAATTAAATTCTGGTTTATAATTTTTTTTTTTTCGATTTTTAACGCTTTATACTCCGCTTTATACCGGTTTCTGAAATCAGTTTTGAAACCTGTTTAGTAACCTGCTAATTTTCCAAAATTTGATTTTTATATAAATTAAAATATTCCTAATCATATTCAGCTTCTGAATATGAAGTTAAAAATATATGGTGGCATTAACAAGTAAATAATTTTTTTTTTTCAGTAATGTTGTTTTGAATTGTCATTAAATCAAAAATTACAGAATTATAGAATTTTGCGAATTAATAAGTGTAGACTGTAGACATTTAAATGGACATTCTGTATCATACACAATTTGTATTATATTACATTAGATTTATCTCACGTGGATTCCTTCGATGCCCTGGTTGAATTTCCTTAATTGACATTCCTTTATAATGTGGTTTATGGTTTGTCTATCGCAGCAATCGCATGCTGGGCTACCTCGGAGTCGCATTTAAACATAATATCAGCGCAACGTCCATGGCCTGTTCGAAGACGATTTAGTACAAACCACTGATGTCTAGGCAGTTCCATACCCATAACTCCTTGATTGGGGTCCAGCACCAGGTTTTTATTTTTGATTGGTATGGTAGAGTTAGTCCATTCCTCGAACCAGCACTTTTTAGTTTCAAATCCTGATCTTATTAGGTCTTTAGTTGTCTTCCAAGGCGGTTTTCTTGATTTTAGTCTGAGTGTAGGTATATCTTCTAATATTTCAGCTAGCATTTTGCTAGCAATTGTAAGCACACACAAACAGTTTTTAGCCATAAAACACCGATATATCAATATTGCCATAATATAATCAATTTCGACCTGCATTCGGATGTCCAGTTAAGATATTTTCGAACGGATCGTAATGTAGGCACACTGTGCATTATTATTTATATTGCGATGGTTTTTCCGTTTAATAATCACATAACAAACCGTTTTCCAATTCTTCTGCGTTAATCAAATGTGAAATTTTTGCCCACGCTATTTATCTTGTATTTATATTAGATTCTGAGTTGAACGATGAATGTATTGATTTTACAATGATGTGTTTTACTTTTTTTTAATTTTTTAATTTTTATATTTTTTTTTTGTGTCTGTCATCACCTTTTAGGACAGTAAAAGTGCTTAGATTTTCTAGAACATTATCTTTTCTGAAAGGAAAGTGAATCTAGTTGGTACTTTGGGGGGTCAAAAGTAAAATTTTTCCAGTGCTTTTCAAATTAACCGTGAAAAACAAAAGAAAAATTAAGGAAAAATGGGAATTTGTACTCAAAATTTGTTTTCGAAAAAATCGATTTTGGTTTTTGGTGTAACTTTAAAACAAATGACATACATGACATTTTCACTGGTTGTTTATATTTGCATTTTCTATACACTATAACATTTTTAAAATATTTTGATTTATTTTGAACTGTTTAGGGACATTTTAGTTTCCAATTTTATTAGTTTTTTAGATTCTGAGTGAAACGATGAATGTATTGATTTTACAATGATGTGTGTTTTTTTATTTTTTTTTTTATTTTTTTATTTTTTTTTTTATTTTTTTATTTTTTTTGTGTCTGTCATCACGTTTTAGGACAGTAAAAGTGCTTGGATTTTCTTCATCAGTAGCTTTTCTGATAGGAAAGTGAATCTAGTTGGTACTTTGGGGGGTCAAAAGTATAAATTTCTCAGTAGTTTTCACAAGCGCCGGGAAAAACAACATAAAAATTAAGGAAAAACGGGAATTTTTACGCAAAATTGGTTTTCCAAAAAATCGATTTTGGTTTTTGGTGTAACTCTGAAACAAATGAACGTATATACATGAAATTTTCACTGGTTGTTTATATTTGCATTTTCTATACACGAAAACATTTCCAAAATATTTTGATTTATTTTGAACTGTTTAGGGACATTTTCATTTTCCATTTTTTTTAGTTTTTTTTCTAAAAATATCAATAAAATTTTATTTGTTGGTTGCGAAAGCTTGAAAATTTAATAGAAGGCTCCTAATATATTGTTTCAAAGGCAGATGAAAAATATTAAAAATCCTTAGTCACAATTTTTTTTTATAAGCATTTAAAATTCAAAAATTGACAAAATATGGGAAAATCACGAAAATTAGCAAATTATTTAGAGTTAAGAATTCGTAAAAATTTTTCTTTTTAAATCTAAGATTTGAAAATTAAACACAAGATTCCTTATAAGTTTGTCTACCTTTATCAAAAGAAAAATGTCTATAAGAAAGTCAAATTAAATTTTTATGAGCGTTTGAAATTCAAATTTTTACAACATTGAATATTCACTCGATTTCCCATGTAGCGATTTCCTAATTTTGTTGTAATTCAAAAACGAATAACTGTAGATACATGAAAATTTCACTGAATGTTTATATTAGCATTTCCTATACACCATACAATTTTGAAAATATTTTGACTCTTTTTGAGCTGTTTATGGACATTTACAGCTTTCAATTTTTTTTAGTTTTTTTTTCTATAAATATCAATAAAGTTTTATCTGTTGGGCCAAAAAGTGTAAAAATTTAATTCAAGACTCCTGATATATTGTTACAATATCATTTGAAAAATATTAAAAATACATAGGCACGATTTTTTTTTATAAGCATTTAAAGTTGGAATTTTGACAAAATTTATCAAAATCTCGAAAATTATCAATCGTTGGAATTAAAAAATTATAAAATGTTCAGTTTTTATAACTAAGAGTTGAAAATTTTAAACAAAGATTCTCTTAAATAATTCATACTGTAACCAAAAAATCTAAAAAATATATAAACACACTTATTTTTTACAGACATTTTAATTTCAAATTTAGACAAAATTTCATATTTAAACCAAGAATTACGATTTTAGTTATTTTGTTGTGATTGAATAATATTATTCGGGGGAACTTGAAACTTCTAAAGTTTACTATTATATATGTATGATAGTATCACGGTTTTTGTTGATGTATAACGCGTTATAAGTACCTAATGGATATTTTGATATGATTAATTTGGAATTTATTATAGGTACCCATTATAGGTCAATTTTTTGTTTAATACCATAGATATGTATATAATACCTATGTCTTATACATAGACTGACATACCGTCTCCACTCAGAATCGTTTTTCTTATACAATGATATTATATCGTTGAATTCAAATTTAATATCATCCATTATACAGTAACCCCCTTGTAACCTACTGTACAGCAGAGCGACACCCACTTGCCCACCTTTTTATTTATATTTTTATTTATATTTTTGTGTCTGTCATCACGTTTTGGGACAGTAAAAGTGCTTCGATTTTCTTCAAAAGTACCTTTTCTGATAGGAAAGTGAATCTAGTTGGTACTTTGGGGGGTAAAAAGTAAACATTTTCCAGTAGTTTTCACAAGCGCCGGGAAAAACAACATAAAAATTAAGGAAAAACGGGAATTTTTACGCAAAATTGGTTTTCCAAAAAATCGATTTTGGTTATTGGTGTAACTCTAAAACAAATGATCGTATATACATGAAATTTTCACTGGTTGTTTATATTTGCATTTTCTATACATGATAACATTTTCAAAATATTTTGATTTATTTTGAACTGTTTAGGGACATTTTCCATTTGTTTTTAGTTTTTTTTCTAAAAATATCAATACAATTTTATTTGTTGGTTGCGAAAGCTTGAAAATTTAATAGAAGGCTCCTAATATGTTGTTTCAAAGGCAGATGAAAAATATTAAAAATCCTTAGTCACAATTTTTTTTTATAAGCATTTAAAGTTCAAAAATTGACAAAATATGGAAAAATCACGAAAATTATCAAATTATTTTGAGTTAAAAATTCGTAAAAATTTTTCTTTTTAAATCTAAGATTTGAAAATGAAACACAAGATTCCTTATAAGATTATCTACCTTTATCAATAAAAAAATCTCTACCGGACAGTCAAATTAAATTTTTATGAGCGTTTGAAATTCAAATTTTTAAAACATTGGATTTTCACTCGATTACTCATGTAGCGATTTACTTATTTTGTTGCAATTCAAAAACGAACAACTGTAGATACATGAAAATTTCACTAAATGTTTAAATTAGCATTTTCTATACACCATACAATTTTGAAAATATTTTGACTCTTTTTGAGCTGTTTACGGACATTTTCAGTTTAAATTTTTTTAGTTTTTTACTCTATAAATATCAATAAAGTTTTATCTGTTGGGCCAAAAAGTGTAAAAATTTAATACAAGGCTCCTGATATATTGCTACAATAGCAGTTGAAAAATATTAAAAATACATAGGCACAGTTATTTTTTATAAGCATTTAAAGATCAAATGTTGACAAAAATTATCAAAATCTCGAAAATTATCAATCATTGTAATTAATAAATTATAAAATGTTCAGTTTTTATAGCTAAGGATTGAAAATTTAAAACAAAGGTTCTCATAAATAGTTCATACTGTAACCAAAAAATCCAAAAAATATATTAACACAGTTATTTTTTATAGACATTTTAAATTCAAATTTGGACGAAATTACATATTAAAAAACCTAGAATAAGTATTTTAGTTTTTTTGTTGTGATTGAATAATATTATTCGTGGGTACTTGAAAGTAGTTGAAACTTCTAAAATGTATTATTATTATAAAACTATGATAGTATCACGGTTTTTGTTGATGTATAACGCGTTATAAGTACCTAATGGATATTGTGATATGATTAATTTGGAATTCATTATAGGTCAATTTTTTTAATACCATAGATAAGTATATAATATGTCTTATACATACACTGACATACCGTCACCGCTCAGAATCGTTTTTCTTATACAATGATATTATATCATTGAATTCAAATTTAATACCATCCATTATACAGTGACCCACTTGTAACCTACTGTACAGCAGAGCGACACCCACTTGCCCACCTTTTTTTTCATGAATATCAATAAAATTTTATCTGTTGAGTAAAAATACTTGAAAACTGAATAGAAAGTTACCTAGTATATTGTTTCAAAGGCAGATGAAAAATATTAAAAATCCTTAGTCACAGTATTTTTTATAGAAAAAGCAGAGCGACATCCACCCCCTTTTTTAGCCTACAATTATATTATTTAGATTTACATTAATTTAATGGTGGTTGTTGTCCACCTAACTGTGTTGTACCTATTCAAGATTCTACCTTTTTTTTTAATATTATAATATGTGTTACCGTAATAAAGACACTTAATCAGTGTTGAGCCGAGATAAATATAATTTTATCTAGATAAATGATGTGACAAATTTTTTAATATTTTTTTATGGCACTCCGTAAGTTTGTAGCAATATAGAATAACTTAATAGTATTTTATCGAAAATGTCGATAGTTGTTAGTAAATACTACCTACTTAATAAATTACTTAATTGTCTAAGTATATTCTAAAATAAATAAAAGCCGTTTAATAAATTAAGTTCATCTAGATAACGGTGATTTTTATCTTAGATAACTGTGTAAATGAATATTTTCTATTTATCTAGATAAGATAAAAGATAAAAGAATATTTATCTCGGGTTCATTGTCCCGCAGCGGTAGCGATCTTTTTCATATTTCGTCATCACATATCATTTTAGACAATATCACATTAAATAATATGTTACTCTCGGTTCCCGATCCTTGCCATTTTTGTCACATATGTAATTCGTACAGTTTATTGTTAATACGCTATAAATTATAATACACAGTCACATATTCTGGAAATAACATGCTTTCGCATTAATTTAATCATTTTAATA